AGCTGGAGCTGCTGCATCGGCCCCCCTCTCGATGCTGCTGCTGTTCTTGCTTCTGCTGCTGCTGCTGCTGTCGCTGCTGTATCTGTTGCTGCTGGGGGAGCAGCAGCAACTTATCTGTTCTTCCCTGCCAAAGGGTCCGTAACTCCTCAATTGCAACCCTAAACCCTAAACCCTAAACCCTAAACCCTAAACCCTCGCCCGTGTATGAGCCCTAATTAGCTGCTGAAACAGCATTAATTTATTAAATTAAATAAAATAAAATAAAATAATAAACAGATTTAATTTATAAAATACATTTATTTGTTTGTTGTTATATTGCTGCTGCCGTCGATAGCGAGCTGCCTGTACACCCCAGAGCTGCCTATACACCCCAAACCTTTGTAGTTTTTTTCTCCGTTTGTTTCTTTTTTTATTTATTTTTTATTTATTTATATATTATAAACATTGTATATACACAATTCTGCTCTTTATTTCATTTTCTCTTCTGCTGCAGCAGCTGCTTGCAGCTATGGAGGCCCACCGCTGCTGCTAGCGGCCCCTAAACCCTAAACCCTAAACCCTAAACCCTAAACCCTAAACCCTTTTTGTTTTTTTTTTCTGCTTTTTTATCTTGATCAGAAAAATAGATTACAATAAATAAAATGTTTCAGTGTTTAACTCCTGCTGCTGCTCTCCCTCCAGCAGCAGCAGCAGCAGCAGCAGCAGCAGCAGCAGCAGCAGCAGCAGCAGCAGCAGCAGCAGCAGCAGACCGGGGGGTCCCTTATAGGTGACCTCAGGAGGAGACAGCTGCAGCATAAGGCCTTTATTGTCTCTCTTTTGTTTAAATAAAAAAATAAAAATTTTTATAATAAAACTAACTGTCTCCTTTCTCTTTTTTTTGTTTTTTTTTTGTCTCCTTTTTACTATCACCTTCTGTTTCTTTATTTGTTTGTTGTTTTTTTCTTTGTTTGTTTCTCTTTCTCTTTATTTGTTTTTTGTTTATTTATATTTGTTTGTATCCTAAACCCTAAACCCTAAACCCTTATTTTATCTTCTTTCTCCCTAGCTATCCCCTCTAGCCCTAAACCCTAAACCCTAAACCCTAAACCCTAAACCCTTAATTATTTGTCTTTGTGCGAGTTGCGTTTTTACGGCAACAGTATTC